TCTACTCTTCTTCAGGGCAGGCCCGGTGCTTTCTCTGCCGAGTGGTGGGGCATGTCTGGAGGTACTTGGAGGGGCATCTGGGACCCCTGATACCTGGAAGGGCGTTGGCCCTATCATTGCCGGCGGTGCAGGCCCCACTGCTGTGGTGGGCAGTAGACCAGGGCCCGCAGAAGAGAGGGTGGTAGGATCGGTGGCCGGAATCGAGTGGGACTTGCCTCAGGGGAAATCTGTCCCTTTCACTCCTGCCCTGCCCTCGTCTTCCCTTACCCTCCCATCAGTGCCCTCACTCCCTGGCTCTGACTGGGCTGGCCAGCCCCACTCCTTGGGGAGCTGGGTGCTTGTGTGAAGGAGGCACCGTAAGCAGGGAGCGTGAGCCCAGCAGCCCCCCTCGTTGGTGAGGGGGAAGGGACCCCCTGTAAGACTATGAAGGGGGTTGCTGGTGCCGGGTTTTCCGCCGCCTCCCCTGCTGATGTTCATCGGCAGGAGTCGGCCGAGGTCACTGCAGCCGCGGTGGAGGGTAGTACCACCCCTGTCCTGGAGTCCCCCCTGCCCCTTTGCCTACTGTGCCCCCTGTAGGTGCTGAGGTATTCCTGCCCTGGCTTTCAGGCCCTGGTCGAGGGGGACCCTATAGAGGTAGGTGGGGACTTTGCCTCTATTTTTGCTGAGATCCAGGCCCTGGGCCTGACCTCTACCACCCAGGGGGTTGACATCCCCTATAAGAGGGCCTCGGTCAGGGAATTTGTACCATGTTGCTCCCCCTTCTCTCCTGTCTCAGGCTGTTGCCCTGTTATTGCTTCTGAGGCACCCCAGGACCTGACCATCTGCCTGGCCATGATTAGTGCTCCGGCTGAGGCCGCCATGCCCAGTGTGGCAACGGATGATGCCGAGTGGCTGGAGTCCAAGCCCAAGGGTGTCTTTCCCCCCCAGTCCTGTAATCTTGGGTGCTTCATTATCAAGGCACCTGGGCCTAGTGCTGTGGGGGTGCCCCAATCTCTTCCTGCCCTTTTAACCACCGTGCCCTGTCGAGAGGTGTTGTGTCCCGGTGGCTTTGCCACTCAGGGCCCTGATTTTGTCCCTCTCCTTGGCCTTGTCATTGGTCCATATCCTGCCCCTGTCCCTGACCCCTCTACGGCCCCTGATACTGTCCTTAACCGTTTTTCCTTCCCCCTTCCTGTTGTTGCCGCTCCCAGGGTTGCCTTCTTTTCTTTTTACGAGGGCTCCTGGGAGGTGGTTTTGGTTTTTCCCTCTCCTGACCCATCCGGAGCTGCAGTTCTCCCTTTGCCATTGTCCCTAGTGCTGCATGATGACTTAGGTGGTGCAGTGCCGGTGGGACGGGCACCGTGGCGGGGATCTGATCCCTGCTTGCCTGTCTTGATAGGCCATGGAGCTGGCAGGGGGTCAAATTAGGAGATGCTCCAGGGTCCGTCGTGCAGAGGGATGAGCTGCGCCGTTTATTGGAGGACACCTATGGCTCCTTGAACAGAATGGATCTTCCTCTTCAGTGCTGGGGTGATTTCCATCTTGTTCTCCAGACCGTGAGGGTCATTTTGGGGGAGGGCAAAGGGACCAGGAAGCAAGATGCTGATGCTTACTAGTGGACTCACTGCTTCTGTGATGCCCTGATGGCTTTGGTCACAGTTTGCTGCGGGGTCCAATGGGCACCGCTAGCATCCCTGACCATGAGGATTATCCCCCGCCCTCCTTATGTTGCCATCCATCTTTGCCACTTTGAACACTCAGGGCTGTAGGGTGGGTCTCCACAGGTGCCAGGTGCTCTCCTTCCTTCGGGGGGGGGGTACTCGGTTATTTTCTTGCAGGAGACCCACACGGATCCAGCCGCCGAAGCTAGCTGGCAACTGGAGTGTTGGGACAGGGTCTACTTTAGCCACCTTTCAGCTCATCAGGCGACCCTGTTCTCCCCGCATCTATAGCCCAAGGTTCTGGGGACTATCAAGGTCATGCTGGGTGGCCTACTGCACCTCCAGGCTCGGGTGGAAGGGCTGATGTTGCATCTTGTCAACGTCTATGCCCCGAGATCTGGCCCGGAATGAGTGCATTTCTTCCAGCAGGCGTCCGCCTTCTTTGGTTCTTTAGATCCTCACGAGTGTCTGATCCTGGGTGGAGATTTCAACTGCACCCTCAAGAAGTGAGACTGCACTAGGACCGAGCTGAGCCTGGCCTCCCTGCAGCAGGTTCAGTTCCGGAGTGTGTCCAGGGACCAACTGTACACACTTATGCTCCACACACTGCATTTCCTCACCCTCATGTCCTGCCCCGACACCAAATAGCGGGACTACCTTCCACCTGTAGAGGATGAGGAGCCCCGGTGGGCCAACCTTTATTCCACCTTGGTCCCATGGCCCGCCCGGGACATTTGGTTGGCGGCTTCTTCATGGAGCCGTGAGCATGGGCATATATCTGGCGCGGTTCACCCTCATACCCGAGGCCTGCTCCTTCTGCGGCGTGAGGGAGAACCTGACACATGCCTATCTTGAATGTGCCAGGTTGCAGCTCCTATTCCGGCTCCTTCAGAACCTCTTGTTGAGGTTCTGGCTGCACTTTTCCCCACACCTGTTCCTTTTCGCACACCCTACCCATGGCCCCACGAAGTCGCGAGACCTCCTCATCAACTTCCTCCTGGCCTTGGCCAAAGTTTCCATCTATAATACCAGGATGAGGATGCTGGATGAGGGGGTGCTCTGCGACTTTGGGGGCCTATTTCTGTTCCTCCCAGGTTTCACGCATCTGGGCACAGTTCCACTGGGCAGCGTCCACTGACTCCTTTGACAGCTTTGAGGAGCAGTGGGCACTGTCTGTGGTTCTCTGCTCAGTGTCCCCATCCAGTTCCCTTCTTTTGACCCTGTGACCTTCACTCCCATCCCCGTTTTTCATTAGTTGTCCCCTGTATTCATTTGGATCCTGGGTCCAGTGGTCTCTCCCACTAGGCTGGGGGAGGGGCATTTAGAAGTGGACGAGCTTGTGCCTGCCCACCTCCAAGGTTTTTCCAATAGGTCCTTTATAGCAGAGGTTCTCAAACTGTGGTCCATGGACCCCAGTGGTCCACGAGCTCCATTCAGGTGGTCCACGGATAGTTCCCTCTAAAGTGTGCGCCCGGGCAGCCAGACACGAGAGAATGAAGGGCCACCCACCTACTTAGTGGATCCGTGTAGGCATGGCTTCACTAATTAGGTGCCTGAACCCTGGAGAAGACACACATGTAAGGTGAGGTGGTGGCCTTGGGGGGGGGGCAATGGGGTGAGAATAGAGGGTGGGGCAAATTTGGGATGTGCAGGGCAGCGGCAGCCAGAGAAAGAACCAACTTTCCCCAGCTCCAGAGCTGCGGCTGCTGGGGAGAGACAGCCCTCCTTCCCAGCCCCAGCTCTTTGGCTGCCATGGTGGGGGAGAGAGGGAGAGACCCCCCTCTCCTTCCCAGCCCCAGCGCGGGGGCTGCCGCAGCAGGGGAAAGAGGACACATACATTGCATTAGAAAGGTAAGACCACTGATATTAAAATATGAGTTGTGTGCTTTTATTTGTAGAACAAAAAACATTTATTATTAAGGGTTTTTTTTATGTAGTGCTTTTATCCAAAGCGCTTTTACAATAGTTAGCTAACAGTACAAACAACATTTGGAAAGATCATTAAGTGGTCCATTGAGACCCTTAGCAATTTTCAAGTGGTCCGCAAAAAAAAAAAAGTTTGAGAACCACTGCTTTATAGTGCAGGTGGCTCGACGTGGGGCATATTGGCACACACCTTCCTCCGCCACCTGTGCAGGCTCCGATACGACCAGCAGCTCTTTTTGCTCCATCTGAGAGGTCTTCCGTGAGGCCTCTCTGAGCTGCCCAATGTACTCCAGGGTGGTTGTTGCTCATAGTTTTATGTTTATTAATCCAGCTTGCAGCATTTTCCCAAATGAATGCCGTGTGATTTCCCTCCTTTCATTAAAAGTTTCATTTTTACACTCAGACTCTGTGCTTGCGAGCGGGGAAGTATTGCCTCCCAGAGGTGCCCAGGGGGTTGTAATTTTCCCAGGTTACTGGGTGGGGGCTGGAGCAGCTTCTGTGTTGTACTGTTGAAGAGGAATCCCTAGATATTGAACCCAGCCCTGGTTGCTGCTGACTCCAACTGGCAGAAGGGTTATATTAATACACAATGAGGGTGTCCACAGCCACACACAGACTTGCACTGAAACAGCTATAGGGGGGAACTAAACAAGCGTGAGTGATTTCAGTGACAATGTGTGTGCAGAGGAGCCTTGGCTTGGCTGTGTCTTGCTGAACATCTAACCCCCCGCCTGGGACCAGCCAGGCTACAGGGGCTCCCTGGGTTAAGGTCAGAGGCAGCCGGTGTGTGCTAGTGACAACGCATTAAAATGTAAACAACTCATTAATCCAGAGCAACCCTTGAGCTGAAGGGTGATTTTATGGTAAATCTTCTAAGATATATGTCATCACAGTCTAAAGGTTACAGCCCGGCCCATTCAAAACACGAGCTAAGAGCTGGAAAGAAGATTTTAGGTTTTAATTTTGTAAAACTCCAAATACAAAAGGGAAAGTAACAATCGAACCCACTCCCCACCCCAATCCTCCACCCTGTTCCAGCTGCCCCAGTCTCTTCCTGTCATTTTTTCTCCTTGGCCCAATACTGAGCCCATAATCACTGTGTGGACCGGTTCTGCTGGGGGAAATACGAGCCAGTTTGGGCTTTGTCTGACTCTGGGCAGGGGACTGTCAGGCCGGAGACACGGGACAATGGGGACTGCTCGGCCCACAAAGCTGGACATGCTCAAGTCCACAGTTAGCAGCAATCTGCTCCTCTGCACAGGCTCTTTGCTGCTGGAGCTCCCGCAAATGTTTCCCACCAACGCATTTGCCTCCACAGGTCTAGATTCTGACTCGGGTTGTACCATTGCTCCTTTGACCTCAGCAGTTAGCCAGTGTTTGGGGCCTTGCTAGGTTCTTCCATTGGCAGGAGAAATTGATGATAGGAGTCAGGTATTTCTTTGGTGCAATCTTTATTATTTACGAACAACGTCCACACATTCCTGTGCCCTGAACACCATACAAACAAACAGCAGCCGGCAGTTTTCTTACTCAGAAATCTATGTTTGGGAACCCTGGGCCTGAAGGAAGTTCTGTCACTCAGTTTCCTGCCGAGATCACAGTCAGGTCTGATTCTCTTGGCTTTCTGCATCTCACACACACCAAGCTGCCAGCCAATCCCTCAGCCCCTGTGTTTTCAGCCAGCTGCAGGGAAACCCCTCTTAGGCCTGCTCTACACTTAACACTTAGGTCAATCTGGTGACATTATTCAGGGCTGGGAAACATAGATTCATAGACTCTAGGACTGGAAGGGACCTCGAGAGGTCATCGAGTCCAGTCCCCTGCCCGCATGGCAGGACCAAATACCATCTAGACCATCCCTGATAGACATTTATCTAACCTACTCTTAAATATCTCAAGAGATGGAGATTCCACAACATTGTGTGCTCTGAGTGCCACAGCTAGATTGACCTAACCCCCAGTGCAGACAATGGAATTCCTCTGATGACCTGGCTACAGCCTCTCAGAAAGAGGGATTAACTAGAGCGAGGGAAAAAACACTTCCGTCAATGCAGGGTGCATCTACACTATGGCACTTCAGTGACCCAGCTGTAGTGCGGTAGCTCTGCTGTAGTAGCGACTGTAGTGTAGATATACCATTATTCTTTCTGAGACCTGATCCACCCCTAAACCTTAGGTCAGCCTAGCTATATTGCTTAGAGCTGTGAAAACTTTCACACCCTGTGTGATGTAGTTAGTTCAATCAAACCCCTGATGTAGACACAGATAGATCAAGGGAATTCTTTGTTGCCCTAGCTCCTGCCTCTCCTAGAGGTGGATTTACTGCATTGATTGTAAATCCCCTTCTACCGATGTAGGAAGTGTCTATGCTAGTCACTCATTTCTACTGGATATTGGGATGAATGCACACTCCCCAGTCTCTGGGTCTCCCTCTCCCAGGCTCCCGGCTGGTGCAGAGCTTCCAGCTTCTTCCCAAAACACCAAATACCAATTAACTAATTCTGTGCCCTGCCACCCCACATATGCCTGTCCCCAGCTCCACATTAATTCTACCCCCAGCCCCTCAACCAGTTGTGACTCTGCAGCTCCCACATCTGCCCCTCAGGGCCCCTTTTCCCCTTGTGCACCCCAAAAGTTCTTCCCGCTCCCCCTCCCATGCCTAGTACTACAGGGAGGGGGGGGGAGGAGCTTCCAGAGGCCATAGAGCTAAGAGGCTGGGTTGGGTAGACAGGAGTCCTCCAGGCCATAGGGGCTAGGATTACTTGGCTAGAGAAACCCATTTTTCCATTCCCAGTGGGCTGTTCCCCCCATGACTCAGTGGCACTGTCTGACCCAGGATCCCCAGAATCCTCCTGGCTCATAGAGGACAGTGACAAACAGGCTGCACAATGCCTGGGGCAGTGATGAGATCGGCTTTACTACCTCGCTCACTCAATGCTCTCTATGGTGGTCACAGAGACTAGGGTGTGTGAGGATAGAGAAGCTGATCTCAGGGTCCCCAGTGGAATATTGAGCCCCCCTCCCCCTCCCCGGTGTCTCAGGGACATAGTCTGAGCTGGGATCTCCACACCCAGAGCCAGGGTCGGATTCTTCCCCCAGGGATGGAGCCCGGTGGGAAAGTGAAAATCAGGGCCTCGTCACCAGCATCGATAAACGTTACCTGCCCCCGGTCACAGTCCAGACAGACCCGGATCCTGCTGGGGGCCTGGCTCAGGGGCAGGGGGGTCACAGGGGAGGTGAGAGCCTGGAACTGACACCACCACCGCTCCACAGCCCAGATTCCTCCCTCAGGGCTACGGCTGATCCGTCCCTTCCTCCCCACAGATTCTCTGGCCACCCCCAGAGCCCAGCCTCCCCTATTTCCCACCTCTACCTCCCAGCAATGTCTCCCCAAGGTGAATCCCTCACAGACCAGCACACAGCGGTCAGTGTCAAATCTCTCAGGATTGTCGGGCAGATCCTGCTGTGTGTCTCCCCATCTCACACTTTTCCCATCCTCAGACAGGACGAGTTGGGGATGAGCCGTGTCTGGATCCAGAGTCACATTCACTGGGGAGAGAGAGAATCAGAGCGTTAGGAGCAGAGCTGAGCTCTGTGGGAGGCTAGGGACATTTCTCACACTCCCCAGCAGCCCAGTTCTGGTTGGGTCAGTCCTGGATCCCAGGGACCTGCCTCTGTTCTGGGCACCTGAGACTGAGCAGAGATGTCACTGCAATTCCTCAGGGTACGTCTACACGAGACGCAATAAATCAATCCCCGAGAGCTCTCCCCATCAACTCCGGTACTCCACCGCCATGAGAGGTGGAAGCGGAGTCGATGGGGAAGCGGCAGCAGTGGACTCGCCGCCGTGAGGACGACGAGGTAAGTCGACCTAAGATACGTCGACTTCAGCTACGCTGTTCCCGAGACTGAAGTTGCGTATCTTAGGACGACGCCCCCACCCTCTTAGTGTATACCAGGGCCTAGTGTGTTTCTCATTTGCTTCCAGAAGCTTCAGCTCCCTGCTCCCTCTGCTGGGGCTGCTCCATTCCCAGTGGCAGAGACACAGCCAGGAAGGTGTCAGAAGCTTTTATTGAGGAGGGAGCAGAGGAGGCCGTTACCAGCTCTATACCCCAGAGGGAAGCTCCATCCCCTGTGCAGCCTCCATTCCCACACTGGGGAATAAAGAGGATGATGTAGCATTGGGGAAGAGCTGCTGAAGACCAGAGAGTAGGAGGTGGCATTGGGTGGGGTAGCAACATCCCCAGCCCAGAGAGAAGGGAGGAGCTGCCAGCATGACAGGGAGAGCATCTCCCCAGTCCGTGAATCAGTGAGCAGCTCCAATGGGAGAGCCCAGTCCTGCCCAAAGGAAAGGCAGGGTGTTGGAGAAGAGTGATGGGGAGACACCCTGCACCGGGGTAAAGCAGAGGGATGTGTCAGCCCTCAGGACAGAGAGCTCTGTTCAGGTGCTGCTTAGTGAGTGTTTCTGTTCATGAGCGTGGGCATGAACTCAGCACTAAGGTTGGTGTCAGGATTGTTTGTGTGACATCAGCTTTGGATCTTCCCAGGAGTTCCGGACCCTTGGTAAAAGTTGGGGGTGTTGCACAAGGTCCCACCACTGGTGGCCCTGCACACTTCGTGGCCCTGCCCCATTACTCCTCTTCCCGCCAAGCCCCTGACCCCTGGCCAGGCTGGGAGCCTTATCTGCTGGGGAGAACCCTTGACCCTCCACCTGCCCTGGCTGGGTTTCTGTGGGGCCTGAGAGCAGTCCCCACCCCATGTCCCCACTCCCCGGAGTGCGCCACCGAGGGCAGGTGGAGGGTTCAGGGCTCCCCAGTGGCGCTCGGGCTCCCTGGGTGGGAGCCTGGCTCTGCTTCTGGCCTGGCCAGGGGGCAGTGCCTCGGGGGAGGTGGAGCAGGGGTGGGCCACTGAGAGGGGCCAACGCAGGTAAGAGGCTGCAATCTCACCCTGTCTGTGTGCTCGGAGTGGTTCACCTCTTTTTCTCTCCAGTGCAGATGGCAGAGTTTCTGGAGGGGGAAAGGATAAGACAGGTGAGATTTCAGACTTCATATTTATAACAGCATCACCACTCTGAACTCCTAGAACTGTGTTTTCATCATGACACAGAAACAAGGTTAAAATGTCCAGGTTTTTTTTCTCCTTCGCCTCCCTCCCTCCCTTCCATGCAGAGTGCAGCTGCTGATTGGGCGGCTGGGCCGATTGACCCATTCCAATTGGCCTCCAGCAGCCAGAGCCCTCCCCTGCTTCCCCCTCCCTCTGTCTGCAGCCCTGTGTAACACACAAACCGATCCACCGGGCAGCGTGTTTTACAAACACGTGGAGCCAGAATGGTAAGGGGAGTCCGGGGGGGGGGGGGCAGTCAGGGAGCGGGAGAGTGTTGGATGGGTCCCTGGCCTCCACCTGCCACCCCGCCTCCTCGCGTCCCCCTGCTGTGAGGCCTCCCCGCCTGCCTCTCCCTTGTCTGCTGCCCCCGGGTCCTAGTGTCCCCCATCTACTAATGGGAAGACAGGCTGCCCTTACTCTGCCCTTCCACCCTAGCCCTGAGCCTCTCCAACTCCCCAAACCCCTCAGCCACAGCCCTCATCCCTCCACACTCTAATCCTCTGCTCCATCCCTGAGCCCCCTCCTGCATCATGAACCCCTCATCCTCAGACCCACAGCCCTCACCCCTGCATCCCCTTCTATCCCCAAACTCCCTCCCAAACCCCCTCCCCCTTCCCACACACCCTCTCCTGCCCTCAAACTCCCTCCCAAAGCCTGCACCCCCTCC